TGTATGTATGGATTGTGATAAGAGTCGTATGAGCCCCTAATAAAACGATTAAAACAATACAGGGAGCTGAGAGGAATTGAAGCAAGCATATCAAAGGTGAAATTCCAATTTGTTGAGAAATAGCCAATAAACTAGCTTTCAGATTTTTAAAATAAGGCAAGTGTCTTCTTCATTCACATGTTAGTATACCAAGAGTAGGCAGAGGGGTTCTGCACATAGTAGTCACGTGGGATCCCAGGATGAAGGAAGCCCATCTTGGTATGTACTTCCCAAACATTCATTACCCTTGAATCCATTCCAACACATATGCTGTAAGGGGTCCAGGAGAGCCTGTCATTGTATAGTCAAAGACAGAGGCCAGATTGATTGGGGGGGGGCATCTGTTTTATTTTTTGATATGGGATTAAATTGACAACAGCAACTGGAAAGACAAGAGTAATAGCAACTTGAGGGAGTAGTGAGCTTATGTTAGTGGGGAAGGAACAGTTCAGAAAAGGAAGGTGAGAATTGTTGCACAACTCCAAGAATGTCATCAATGTCACTGAATTGTATATGGAGAAACTGTTGAATGTGAGTGTACTTGATCTTTTGCTATGTATACTCTCAACACCAACAAAAACAATTTAAGTAAAAGAAAAGTTTAAGAGTCATTGGAGGATTTGCAGGACACATTCTGAGCCCCTGGAGTATGATTTAGTGGTTTGTTTTGGTAACTACAGCAAGGGAATTAGTAGTGGCTAATAGGAAGCAGAGTTGGAAACTGTTGCGAGAGTTGGGGCATGCAATTTGGGTGAGTGCGCTGTGGTTTGGAGGAGTAGGGGGTATTGGAATGTGGCTTGAAATGCATTTTTTTTTGTAAGTGCATTTTAAATGAGCCACGTATAGAGTAGTTCGAAGTTATTTGGCATAGTGATGGAGGCTGTTGGAAGGAAGCTTATGCGTGTGTGCATGGAGTGGTTAATGAAAGATGCTCTTGAGGTCCATGGAGCATGGCTTGAGGATATAATAGGTCGTTAAATGTGCAGGTGGGACCACACTGAGAATGGTTTAGAGGGTGTATGGAGTGTGTTTTGGATTGTATAATAGGGGGTAGGTGGTTTGGAAATGCTGTTTGGAGATCAATGTTGGGTGGATTCAAGGTTGGTGGAAGGTGGTTTGGGGAAATAACCTGGGGGCAATGGAGGTTATGCATTCAAATGCTAACGGAAAAGATGCTCATTTAAACCCTGGACGTCCCTATAGGGCAGTTCTACTCTGTCTACAGGGCAGCTATGAGTCGGAATCATCCCTAGAGCAATGAATGTGTTTCTTGTTTGTTTAATGGAGTATGGTTTATGGGTGCAGCGTCAGTATCCATGGAGAATGGATTGGAGGTACTGTTTGGGGGTCAATAGAGACTAATTTGGGGATACAATTTGAAGGCTGAAAATCAGAAAATATTGTTGCTTCTAATACAATCTTGATGTCCATGGAGGGTAATTTAAAGGTACAGCTTGGGATCAATATTGTGTGTAGCCTTGAGGTCCATGGAGAGTGGTGGACGGCACATTTGGAGATGGCATGAGAGTAGCTAGGCTCGTTTGAAGGTGCGGTGGGTATTGTCTGTCAGACAGCAGTTTGGGGTAATGCTTGGGAGTCCCTAGAGAGTGAGTCTAGGTGAAGAGCTCCAGTCTAATCACTGAGAGGGTGTGGCATTGTTGGGGGCTGGACCCAGGCTAGGAAAGGGGTGCTCCTGGGGCGCGCCCAGTTAGGTTCCTACCCCTAACCTGCTTGGCAGCCACCGAGAAGGCGCGTGCGCACGCGGTCCTAGCTAGTTCGCTGTGGGAGCTCCCAGAGAGGGGGGGCGTGAGAGGGGTGGTGGTGGAAATCGAAGGCCTGGGCTTGCGCCTGCGCACTTCGCACCCACCGCTGCTGTGGTCTCGCGCCCCGCCCCTTTCAGCCTTTCCACCGGCTCGCGCTCAGCCGCGAAGGAGGTGGTGCCGCCGGGAGGCCGGGAGCCCAGGGACTCCAGTTAAAGGCAGGGGTGGGGGGGGGGAGGGTGTTCACCCCCGGCCGTGGAGCTAGCGCTTCCCTCCCATCCTCCTCGTACCCTCCATCTGCCCCCCGCCGCGCGCGCGGCCCAGGAGGAGGGCGCGGAAGGGGAATAAGCGCGCGCCCGAGGACGAGCGAGGGACCGCGAAGGAGGGGTGCCCCCATCACCCCCCTTCCCCGGCCTCCACCATCCAAGCCTTCGCCGTGGGTTCGACGACCCTGAGTGAGTAACAACTCCTGCCTGGCGTGGAAGGGAGGGAGCAGGGTGGGGCGAGGGCCAGGGAAACGCTGATGGCAGACATACCTGCGTACCTGCGCGAGCGCACCCACCACCTCTGACCCTGTGTTCTCACGCTAGGACTCCTGCCTGAGCGAACCTCAGTTGTTGTTGTTGTTTTTAACCTCGAACCTTGGTCAGCCATTAGTCCAGGACCTGGTCATATTCTGGTTTAACGTACTCTTAACCCATTTTATCTTCTTAAACCCCAAACCCATCCGGACCTGGCCTCCGGATGCTTGGCCCGACCCCATAGTCCTGTGTGACTTCATACCACTTCTGAAGCTCATCATACCCAGTCCTGATGCCTAACGCTGACCCCAGTTGCTGCCCGATGCTTGACCTGTTTTGGGGTTTCGGGAAACCCCTGTCCAGTCTCTGTGACCCTTCCTAGTGGTGTCCTATTCTGTTGGCCTCTAACCTGATCCATTTCTGCCCAGATGTCTGACCTCCGTACTTTTCCCCCATCCCATCTCCTGACTCCCATCTCTGTCCTGGCTCACCACCATTGGAATGCCCCCCTGTCTTCTGCCCAGTGCCTTCTGGCCCCATCCCATTCTGTTTGCGTCTTTTCCTGTCACTAACCTTCAATCTGAACCTGCCCCTTTCCTTGACCACTGTCTTGCCCTGCCCTTTCTCATGTCTTCTGACTCCTGTTCTGTACTGCTCCTGATCCTGCCCTCCAGTTTTGTCCCTTTTTCCTTTGTCTCTGATCTGCCTCCAGCCTCCCTCCATCGCATTCCCTGGCCAGTGTCCTGTCTCATTCCCTGCCTTGCTTCTTAGCCCCTAACCAGATCTTGACAAGATTCGGTCTTGTCTCCCACATGCTTTCCTCAGCTTGTCCCAACCTGGGGCCCCTGTTCTCCCCCTTTACCATGCCCTTCCACTCTGTTCAGCATTCCTAACTTCTTCACACCCACTTTCCATCCCCTTAAGAATAGGAGTTCCCTTATATCTGGCTCCTGAACGTGGGGGGTTCCTTGTTCCCAGAACCTTAGAAGTACAACCCAAGTATTGCTGTTCTTAAAAGGGCAGTGGACTTCCATTCTGCCTACGCCATATCCTACAGTTGCTTAACAGTAACCCTATGGGGCTGATGGGGGTTTTTTTATGTGAACTTCCCCGACCCTGTGATCTCACACAGAGCTTGCATTTCTCTACCCCAGGAGGGTATGGAATGGTTCTTATGTGCCTGCCGCCCTTCCTCAAGTATGAAAGAACACCTGAATTATTCAGTGGCTCTCTGGGAGTTCTGGGTCATGTTTCAGCCTTGTGGGGGGGCGGGGGGAAGCTACCCAACGTCAGGGGGTGAGGGAGTATGTGGGGGTAGTGGACCTAGGATATGTTTGATTCTTCCAGGACGTGTCCCTTGGTCTTGGTTCTGTTATTTGTAAGCTCGGCTTTCTTGGCCTGGGAGAAAAAAGTCCATTCTGGCATCAGGACTTGGTTGGGGAAAGGATGGGAGCAGAAGTTTGACCCTCACTCCTTCTCTCTTGGCAATAATCACAATCAGTCTCTGTGCTAGTCTACCCCACTTCTGTGGGGTAGGTCTGTGTGTGTGTGTGGGGGGGGCAGCCACTGGATGTTAGAATGAGGTTCATCAGGTAGTAATTATAACAACAACAATATTACTATGAGGATTCCTTGCTGTCTGAATATCCTGGATTCTGAAGATGGACAGGGAGGATTTGGATGGTGAGAGAGTAATGTGTTACTCAGCTACATTTTGTTCCTGTATTTCTCATAGGAAATCCTGTATTTCTCATAGTGAGGATTTGCATAATGACGGCTGTCAGACCCATTTCACTGATCCCCAAATGGTTGTCCTACCTATTAAGAACAATCCCACCTCCACAGGCATTCCTCACTGTCCTATTAAGTCCTCGCTCAGACAATAAAAGATACCAAGTTATCTGAAAGTATTTTACAAAGTAGGTAGAGAGGGTTCTGATAAGGATAAGGAATCTAACTCACAAATGTATTCCAATTAATCCACTTTCCTAAGATGCAGTTGTAAGACTTGGGAGAGCTAAGGAGAGCGCCGTGATTCTGTGTTTCCTGGGTGAGTAAGGAAAGCTCAGTGTGTGGAATACCAACTGTATCTCAGATATGTCTCTAAATCCATTCAGTTGCCAAATTTGAAGAGTGGGAGTTCAAACAAGTTATCTGAATGTATTGGGTTCTAGTATTTTTTCTTCTTCTATCGAGTAGGGGGAGGTTAAGTAATGTGAGAACACAGCCCTGTATCAAATTTATCTGGGGTGCAAGTAGGAATGGTTACTCATGTCTGAGTAACAAGTATGGAGAGCATGAAGGTCGAGGGACACCACACCATCTGAAAAATGTATCTAAATCCGTCTGGTTCCCGAGTTTTGATAATGAGAGTGTGCACAAGATATCTGAGGGAAAATAGCTCTCTTTCAAGTTGATCTGTGAGGGCTCAAAAAGAAAAATGTATCTGAATGTAGCCAGCTGATAGATTCCTGGGTTCACACAGGGCCGAATACTTGCCATTGAAACCACCACCAAGTACTGCGTTCTCACTGTGTGCCAGGCCCTGCCCTCTACAAGTGCTAAATGTATTAACACATCGGATGCAATCAACAACCCTGTGTACTATTATCATCATCCCCATTCTTAAAATGAGGACATTGAGGCGCAGAAAGATTACTCAACTTGTCTGAACAGTCACCTAGCCAGTCTCTAGCGGGAGCTAGATTGAATCCCACCACTTTGTAGCCAAGTAGGGTCACCTGAGGCTCAGGACCTGGCTAGCTAGGGTGGGACCTGTATCTTGCCCCGCCTTCCATGCTGTTAAATCATGGACCAGGCAGTGATGTGGGCGGGTGACCATGCCCCGCCTGCGTGCCTGGCCCCAAACGTTTGGTTACCTGCTTTCCTCCAGCCTCTGCACGAGCTCATCTCTGTGTAAGTTTATTATTATTATTATTTTTGTAAGTTTATTATTTTACTATTAACAGTCATTAATGGCATACCTTGGTGGCTTAGTAGGGCATGTGTGTGGCTATTAATGGCAAAGTCAGCAGTTCAAGTCCACCAGGCACACTGTGGGAGAAGGAAGAGGCTCTCTGTTCCTGTGAAGATTTACAGCCTCCGAAACCAGAGGAAGCAGCTCTCCTCTGTCCTGTAGGCTTGTTAAGGATCAGAATCCCCGAGATGGCAGCGGGTGGGTGGGTGGCGGCATAGGGTGAGTTTCCTCGGACTTTGAGATGCTTTCCAAAGTGACTTTGGCTTCTCTTATAGCCCCCTTTCACCCACTTTACAGATAAAGGAACCCGCAGCCTCGACTCGAGAGTGAACCTACATTGCCAGACACTTCTCTTGTCCTTCTTGGCTCAGATTTTGTAAACATCTCTCTTGCCAACAGAGGCCATAGCTGAGAGGAAACTCCCCACTAACACCTAATTGCCCACCTAGGAGTCAGTCTCCACCGGCCCAGCAGTGCAGGAAGGAAAAGGAGAGGGTTGGGGGTGGATGAAAGGGGCCTTTGTGTCCCTTGCTGGAAACCTCACGCCCAGGAAGAAAGGTGGGCAGAATGGTGGGAGGCATCCATTAACGCTCATGTGGAGAGAGCTCACAAACTCGAGCTCAGAACTCAGGCCTAAGTCTGGCCCACCCTCCAAGGGAGGAGGGAGTTGGCCCCACTCTGCTCTTTCACATAACGGCATGGGCTACTGCAGGGCCCTGGGTTGGGCCTAGGTCCCGAGGTCACAGAGCAGATGGTCCCAAATCTAACACCAGACACATGGTGTGTGCTGCAGCAGGCCTGGAGCCCAGGTGGTGCTGGGGAGCAGGGCTGTGGGGGCGGTGAGAAATCCCTCCCACATAGGCACTCAGAGCCAATTTCCTTATCTGGCATGAAGTTAACTCCTGGTCAGAAGGACCTGGGGGAGACCCCTAACCTGGATATGAAAAAGCCTGAGCCCCTTTCCCCTTTCTTGCTGGAAAAGCCTGTTTGCTTCCACCCCAGGGCCCAGTCCCCTGTCCCTCTGCATTTTGATGCTATCTGTTTTTATGTCCTTGTGATCTGAATCCATCCTGTTTACCTTCCCAAGCCTCAGCTCCCATGTCTATAAAATTCCATGAAGAGCCTGGGTCTGTGTCTTCCAGCTTTATAGGGACCGAACCAAAACCAAACCCACTGCCATCGGGTTGATTCCGGCTCATAGTGACCCTATAGGGCAGATATACAGAACTGCCCCCATAGGGTTTCTGAATCTATCAATCTTTATAGGAGCAGACAGCCTCATCTTTCTCCTGAGGTCTTCAGGGTGAAAACTAATAAATAAGCACGCTGCCACTGACTTGATTCTGCCGCACGCACGTTCCCCCCTATAGTACAGGGTAGAACTACCTCTGGCTTTTCGAGACTGTAACTCTTTAGAGGAGTGGAAATCCTCATCTTTCTCCTGAGGAGCAGCTGGAGGTTTTGAACTGCTGATCCTGCAGTTCACAGCCCAGTGCGTAACCATTAAAGTGTATCCAAGTGTTTTCATAGAGTGTAAATTGTAGTCAGTTTACTGTGTGATTTCTTCAGGAGCTGCAGAAAGTGAGAAGATCTTAAGACCTGGCTTCACCGTAGAAAGATCAGGGGGTGGGGAGGCCAGGGGAAGAAAAAAAAGAAAGATCAACCTCTGTCCTTAGCTTGGGGAACAGTCCCTCTGCTGAGAGGGGGAATTGCCCCGTGACCGTCCACCGCCCTTGCCTTGCCCTGAAGGAAAGTGTAGGGGCCTCAGGAATGCTATATGCACTGCCAAGAACCACACACTCCATTCATTCTCAAGGTCACCCATGTGCTTCTCAACTCCTCAGCCCTCCGTCTCTCTGCTCCTCGTGGGTGGGCAGTATCTGCTCTTTGGGGAGTTGAGGTAGTTGGAGAGGCAGTTCCACTCCCATAACCCTTAGCTCTCCCTTCCCAGGAGGTGGAGCCCTGGGGTACAGTAGGTCAATGGCCAGCTGCTAAAGGAAAGATCAGCGGTTCAGACCCACGAGTCCCTCTCCTCCAGAAAAATGTGCCAGTCTGCTTCTGTAAGGATGACGCCATTGCAAATCCTAGGAGACAGTTCTACTCTGCTCTAGAGGGCCTCTATGGTTCCGAATCCACTCAATGACAATAGGTTTTTATCTCCCAGCTAGATGTATCGGGATATACAGGGAGTTCCAGGTTGCTGTCTTAGCCATGCTGGGCACCCTGAGGAGACACGGCCCCAGAGATGGCCTTAGCCAGGGTGGCAGGCAGCAAAGGGTTAAAAAGTGTGTGGGCTGGCCCAGTCCCAGGCCAGGTAGGCTGGGCCGGTCCCTAGTGGGAGGTGGCTGAGGTATCCAGCAGGCACTGCCATTAGCCACCACCAGCTAAGCCAAGACCTGGACTTGAGAGGACTATTTGCTTGAGGGACCTGAGGCCCCTACAACACCCCTCTGGTAGTGGTGAGCACCTGGGCACTGTGGGTAGTCGGGGGGAGGGCCTTGGGAGGTCTGGCTGGGGTGAACTGAAGTTCCCAGCAAGTCAACACTGCAGAGCATGAGGGAGTCAGGAGCAGGGAGGGGGTTAGTGATAGTAGCTTGAAACCAAAATGTCTGATTTCCTTGTCTGGCTTAAAGCCAATTTCTGGTCAGAAATGGACGAGGGAGAAGGATGAGGAAAGGTCTCGGTAGGATTCCAAGGACTAGAAGGATGAGTCTCCCTGCTCCACTCCCGCCTTCTCTACTTCCCTTCTTCCGCTCCTAACCCAGGGCCCAGACCCCCTGGAAAGCCCAGCCTGGCCTATTGGGAAACCATTTCCAGGTGCCTGCCTGTCTGCGCACCTGCCTGCTCCGCCCGCGTTTGTTCACTTACGTGTGGAGGAAGGTGGGCACTGTGAGAAGGTGGGGCATAGTCCCTGACATTGGGGATTTGTATTTGCTCCAGTGGTGGCAGGGTGTGACAAGGGGGTCCCATTGAGGGTGTTGGGTGCCACCCAGGTGAGGTGTCTTGGTTGTAAACAATTATTACAGCCAGGAATTTCTTTCTCAGCTATGGTGTCAGAAGGACAGACCTGAAAAACCTGCTGGGCCCGCTTCTGGGTGTGTGTGTGGGTGCCCTGTGCAGCTCTCTTGCCGTAGCCCATCCCTGGGATGGGACAGGGCCACAGGGTCACCAATGAGAAGATCCAGGGGCTAGCATGGGTGTGTGTTTGAGGAGGGGGTTGCTAGGATCCCCAAGTTCTCACTATCTCTGGGTGGGGAGCGGGCAGGCCGGGCACCTTTGGTAGGGCAGATGGCAGGTGAGAGGAGGCCAAGGTTTAGAAGCTGTATGTGGTGGTGTGGGCGTTGACCCTGTATCTGGCCTGCCCAGTGACCCTGTGATTCAGCTCTTAGCTATGTCCCTGAGGTCAGATTGGCAGGGTGGAGCGGGGGTTCCTGTCTGAGCCCTGTGTTGACTTCCAGGGTGCCCTGAACTACCTGGGGTGAAAAGTTTCAGACAGACACTGTGGGTTGCAGGACCAATCCTGGCAAACAGACCTATGGGGCCGGAGTTGAAAGTCTCTCAAATGCAAACAAGGGCTGGAGAATTGGGAGCTTCAGGGGCCCAGGAGCAGAGAGGGCCGGGGCTGGTGCCTCCAGGAAGCACAATTGTACTGGGAAATGGTTTGTTTATTTTTTTCTGAGTCAGTCAGAATGCCCCTGGTACCTGGATTTGCCAAAAGGCTTTAGGAACTCACCGTTACCCCTAAGGTTAAAAACAAAAATCACTATTTCAAAGCAGGGGTGCAGACCACATCGGCGTGTGTTTAAAAGGACTACAGAGAGAGCCTTGAAGCCTCACCTCCTTGGTTGCCTGGCCACCATGTCATGACACACTTTGCATTCTGAGTGCGTGGAGTCGGCCCTCTGTGGGTCCCTGAGGTCAAGCCAGTTGCCTGCAGCAGAGGTCAGGCCCGTTGCTGGGGAGGTGACGTAACCTGGCTACATAGCTGAGGGCTGTCCAGGATGTACAGGGAGGGAGCAAACTCCAGAGGTGGTGACACAAGCAGGGTTGGCAGCCCAACAGAGCATCGGAGGCAGAGGATGGGGCCAGAAGGGGCTGGTTTGTTATCTTCAGTTGTGGCTTTTGGCTCTCACAAATCCCAGTAGAGTACGTTCCCTAAGCTAGGGCTGGAGGGGCCAATGAAAATGATCTTTTGGCTATACCAGGACTATGCTGGGACAGATCTGCATACCCACAGAACTGGGCTTGAGCCCTAGCTCTGCCGCCTCTTCATTCGTTTATTTGATCATTTCTTCATTCCGCTGGCAGACATTGACTGGGCACTTGCTCTGTAGTACAGCAGCACTCAAGGTGCTGGAGATGCTGAAGAAAACAGGACAGACGTGTTTCCTGTCCTTGGGGATACATGGGGAAGGCACCATAAGTCCAAGAATGACAAGTGAGGACCACGGGTTGGGGTGGGAAGAGCACTCCAGCCATTAACCACAGCCTGAGCCTGCGGGACCTGGGAATTGATAAGGAAGATGGCGGGTCCTGAACTGCTCTAGTGAGGGAGAGTGCTGAACCAGCAGGGGTGGGGGCCTCAGTGTGTGGTCTTGGGTAAGTTATTTTACTACTCTGTGCATTACTCTCATCTTTACATCGGGGTCATAATCATCAGAGAACTATACCATCACAGGATGGTTGTGAAGATGAAATGTGGCTGAGTGGTGTAGGCCTCTTGCCCTTGGTAGCGTAGTGGTTTCATGTTGGGCCACGATCCACAAGGTCAGTAGTTCCAAGCCACCAGCTGCTCCATAGGAGAAAGATAAGGCTTTCTACTCCCTTAAAGAATTACAGTCTTGGAACCCAACAGAGGCAGTTCTATCCTCTCCTATGGGTTTGCTCTAAGTCGGCATCGACTTGACGGCAATGAGTGGCGGTGTGGGTAAGAAAAAAGACAAAACCATTGGGTCAGTAAGAATTGACTGTGAAGGCACCTAGAACGAGCCACCACAACAGTGGTGTCATGGGCTTTTAGTCACAAGGCTGGAGGTTCAAACCTACCAGCTGCTCTGAGGCATTTTGAGCCTGTAAAGGTTTACAGCCTTCGAAACCCACAGGGGCAGTTGTGCTCTGCTCTATAGGGTACTTCTGAGTTCGATGGCATTGGGTGATGGGTGGTATTGAACTGTGCCAGGTATCAGGTACACTGGAGCTTAGTGAATGTGCTGTTGTTACAGTTGGTTACATCTGCCCCCATTAATTCTCCCTCCCCAGGCAAAACTCCTGGTTGGCTGTGTGGCCCATGGGCCTCTGAGGAGGCGTCGTGAGTCTGCCAAGCTCTCCGTTTGCTGTGCTCCCACTCAATGGGAAGGGACACAAGGTACCAGGGCCAACACCATTCTGGGGTGACCCTGTTGTGTCCTGACATTGAAACAAATTCTGAGGGCAGATCCAGTAGGCGAGTGGGCTTTAATGCTCCCCACCGTCCCAGGCGGGGTGTGGGAAGACGGGTGGGGGGGGCAGGGGGAGGGGCTCTCCTGTAATGTGTCTCCTTAATGGCTCCTGCGCTTCATTGCCAGGACTTGTCCAGCCAGCGGCCACAGACTCTTAACAGCACCAGGATGGAAGTCAAAGGTCAGCTGATCAGCTTTCCCACCTGCACTGCCCTAGGTCCACGGCTGATTCCCCCTCCATCTGTCACCTCCGCTGCTCTGAGCCATGACCTGCCTGATGAGGAAGGGAGTTTCCTGCCCCACCCCACCCCCCACCCCGCTGCTCCAGGAGGCTCTGACTGTCCCACTGACCTTTGCTATCTCTGTGTCCAGCTGCCCTGTTTGGAGAGGCTGCCCCCCAGGTAAAGTCAGAGCGTCTACGGGGACTGCTTGACCGGCAGCGAGTCCTGCAGGAGACCCTGACCCTAAAATTGCAGGAGCTCCGGAAAGTGTGTCTCCAGGAGGCGGTGAGTGTTTGGCCCCAGGGCTGGAGGGAGCTAGGGAGCCCTGGGTAGACAGGCTGGGGTAGCGATGGTAGATTCCCTCATCACAGCTCAGCCTAGAGATCTTAGAATCAATAGTGCAGGCCCCCCATTCCTTGTCTACAGTCGTGAAATTCAAAACCCTCAACAACAAAAAAGTTCTTCCAAAACGTGGCAGCCAAGCCTGACCTGACTGAAACAGAGGGATTTATAGTTTCTCTTTACCCATCTTAGTGCCAATGGCCACGCAGCTTGACAGACAGAACGATGTAGTGTGGGCTTTCAGTGAAGGACCCTGGCAGTGCAGTGGTTAATGAGCCAGCTGCTAAGCCCAAGGTCGGTGGTTCCAACCTGCCAGCCCCTCTGAGGGCAAAAGAGCTGGCGGTCTGCCTCCATAAAGAGTACAGCCTTGGAAACCTTGTGGGCCAATTTGACTCTGGTTTGGTGTGATGGTTTGGTGTGAATGCCCCAAGTAATAACTCGGCTCCGAGCATGCAGCCCCACACCCTAGTAGGGATGTTAAGTGATGACAATATGTAGGCTGTGTTGCCTTTGTAAACATTTTTGGATTCCAAACCAAATCTCTGCATCCTTCTCATCCCCACCGTCCCAGAGATGTGGGCCATTAAGGGTCCAAGTCTCCACTGCATGGGGGTCATAGTGGGAGGAGGAAGAGAACAAGCATGTGCCAAGCAGGGCCAGGCCCCTAGGAGGCTCTCTGTAAATGTGGGGGGGTCACTACTGCTTCGCCCCTTCCCTCAGCTAACCCTTGGTCGTCTCTGATTCTTGCCCCCTACCCAGGAGCTAACTGGCCAGCTTCCCCCTGAGTGTCCCCTGGAACCTGGTGAGCGGCCCCAGTTGGTCCGAAGGAGGCCACCTGCAGCCCGCACCTACCCTCCCTCGCACCCCAACCCAGCACGCCACGCTTTGTGCTCTGCTGAGGTGAGCAGACTTGGAGAACAAGGTGGTATGGAGGGAGGGGGACAGGTGTAGAGGAAGAGGAGCCAGGAGACCAACCACAGTCCCAGTTCCAGGGGGTTTGAGTCCAGGACAGGAGAGGCTAAGATAAGAAAGAAAAGAAAGGTAAACAAGCGGCCATCTAGCTCAGAAGCAACAAAGCCCACATGGAAGAAGCACACCAGCCTGTGCGATCATGACGAGGTGTCGAAGGGATCAGGTATCAGGCATCATCAGAACCAAAAATCTTATCATAATGAATGAGGGGGCAGTGCGGAGTAGAGACCCAAAGCCCATTTGTAGGCCACTGGAGATCCCCTTACAGAAGGGTCTCGGGGAGGAGACATGTCAGTCAG